GTTCAGCAGAATCTGGACTTTCCATGGGTAACAGACTACAACTAAGCAGAAAGTTCTGAGCGAGAATGCGGGCCCCCAAAGCTGTGCCCTCACCTGGAGGGGGCAGGCAAGACAGGCCACCTCTGGAGAGCCCTGAGGTTCCATCCCAGGCTGGTGGGACTTGATGGCCGACCTCACTGAGTCCTTCTTATCAAACCTTGTAAAACCAGCCAGGGGAGCCTGTTTGACTTAGAGGCGTGACTGGGGCTGGAGGGAGAAGAGGAGCCTAGGCACCTGCTGCCCACGGGGCCTCTGCTCTCCCCAAGCTCGGCACAAAGCAGCATTGCTGCGGCTCACCCTGCGCCAGCACCACTGCGGTAGCTGCCCCTTTCCAGGGACAGTGCTCCCTCTGTGACCATTTTATGGGGGTGTTTGTTTTCTTTCCACTTCACTTTTCAAGCCTTCCTTCTTTGTTCTGCTGCATTCCCTTTTCCGATTCTAGCCTTTGGGGGCCCTGGGGAAGCCTCCTGGGGCCTGTGTGAGGTCCTGGACTCAGTCCTCCTGGAGCCTACAGCTGCCAGTACTTCTGTGGGGGGAGGTCCACTGCCCTGGCTTCGGTAGGGCCTTGAGCCGTTGGACAAGAGGGGGCAGGCTGGACCCTCAGGTGATGCTGGGGAAGAGAGAGGAGAGAGGAGCAGGGCAGCACAGAGGAGTGTGGACCCTCCGTAGTGCTAGGAGTCTGGGGAGAGAGCCAGGGCAGGAGGGAGGGCATTGGAAAGAACCACAGGCTCTGTACGAGCGTTTGAGTCCCGACACATTGGGGCACGTGTGAGTGCAGGGGAAGCGTGCTGCAGGGTTTCAGACCAGAAGCCCTGAACTGGAAGAGGGCAGCTCCCACGTGACTCTGACTGTCTGTGTTCCTTCAGGGAAGTCTGTAAAGGCTGGTGCCCCATGACCCCAGTCAGGAAAGCCCTGCAGGAAGTGAGTGGCGGACCTGAGGCAGCTTGGGAGGGTGGCCAGGGCTGCCACTGCCTTTGCTAGAGCCTGCATCAACTGAGGTCCTCTCCAAGGCGTTCATCCACACTTCCTTCCCCTGGCATCTGGTAAGTGTGAGGACAGGAAGGAGGGGCAGGCCTTTGCCAATCAGTGTCAGGCTGGGCGTTCCGCTGGGGTGGTGCCAGGGGGTGGGGTTTAAATGAGGGAAGCTAAGACCATCTGTCTGCCCGAGGCAGCTTTTGTGGCTCTGCCATCACAGCCTCCGGCCATTGCCCAGTCTCTTATAGGGATGAGAGAGTGACTTGGCCTTCTGGGGAGTCCTCCCATGCCCTTGACCTGCCACCTCCCCCCACCCACCCTGCACTTCCTGTCATGTGTGTGTGTGTGTGTGAGACTGTCCCCAACCCAGCAGTCCCAGGGGCCAGAACTGGGAATCACCTTCCCCCAACATACATCCTGCCAAGTATTACCGGGTAGTCCAAATATCTGTTCTCTGTACCTCCTCTTCTTGTCCCCGAGATTTTTGTCCCTCTAACAGGTAGAAAGACCAGACTTAGCTGAAGTCCCCTGGGAATCTAGGTTAACCAGATTTAAGGTGGGACCTTGAGAGGAAGGTGTTGCTGAGCATTTCTCCAGGCTCTTCAGCCACAGACAGTGTGAAAAGCAGGCCAGAACTTGGCCACTAACTCTGGGGCCTTTGGTGTTTGGAGATTTCCATTAGTTTCACCTGGGTTACCTGGCACCTCAAAGGAAAAGTCAACAACCAGCCTGGAGCGATATTTGCTTTGGAAATGCTGCAGCTTCCAGTAAGGCTAGGGGTGTAGGAATGGGAGGGCAGAGCCTGGGGAGTGCTCCAGCGGTGCATGGTGGGCAACTCAGGGGTCCCTGAGGAGGCCTGGGACCCCATCCTCCTCACCCTAGACCACCCCCTTTTGCCTTCTCTGTCTCCTCTCCGCTGCCCCTTTCCTGGCTTTTAGTCTCTCACTAAACTAACCCATGTGTGTAGCCGGCTGCAGAGGGAGTGTGGCGTAGTGGAAAGAGAGCTGGCGTCTGGGACCCAGGAGGCTGGGTCTGAGACCCAGTTCTGCCCCGACCAGCTCTTTAATCTTAATGGATATCTCAAGCCTCTGAGCCTCGGTTTCCAAGTGTATGGAGTGGGCCTGTCTCTGAGGCCCCGGCCTGACATCCCATGAACTCTTGTCTGTGGCTCAGATGATCAAGAGTTGTTGGGCTTCCCTGGTGGCACAGTGGTTGAGAGTCTGCCTGCCGATGCAGGGGACACGGGTTCAGGCCCCGGTCCGGGAAGATCCCACATGCCGCGGAGCGGCTGGGCCCGTGAGCCATGGCCGCTGAGCCTGCGCGTCCGGAGCCTGTGCTCCGCAACGGGAGAGGCCACAGCAGTGAGAGGCCTGCGTA